TGCTATTAGCCTATAAATCAGTGGTTCTCACGCTCAGGTGTGAAAAAAATCAATGTCCTAGACCGTTGTGGTGCTCATTACTGCAGTCGATTATGACTGCATGAAAAGCTATTGTCTGTGACACGCTCACTTCATACTGATTCACATGGATTCTCATTCTTTTCAGACGTGTTGTATTCACTCTCATAGCTATTGCATGAGAATACCGTTCTCTTCATGACTTTTTATCATTCACTTCGTCTCATTTCGCTTAACAGTTACAATCAAATTCTTATTCTGTGGCATATACTATCTACTGGATGCGTTGACGAGTGTTGACAGCCGATGTCAACAATACAACAATTGAATGATATTGCACAACAATGTTCGAGAGTCAAATGATCAATAATAGAGTGTATTTGATAGAATGAGAATTTGACTTTGATTGCTGAGTAAAATGAATGAGAAATTGGCAGAAGAGAACAATTTTGATGATAAAGTCATGAGAGCGATTACAACAGCAAGAAAAAGAATGAGAACCCTACTAAAACGAATGAAAACCGTGAGCAACTCAAATCATATCATGAAGAAGCCGATATTCAGGTATAAATGTGTTAGAGAGCGTATTACGATACAGCGATCCGTATGGAATCCCCAGGAAGAAGATCGTCATTGCCGAATGCGGACATATCTGAAACTTGTTCAGATTGATGAACAAACTTTTATGTGATCATAGCATTCTTTTATGTGATCATAGCGTAAAACGTCTTCTTATTGATGCACGCATTTATAGAGCGATGCAAGCTGTATAAATTCACGAATACATTCAAAAATAATATTTCGGTGGATTGATTAGCATTTCATTATCATACTTTCGCATCACAGTACCAAACATTATTAAGAGACTTGTAATTTCACGAAAAAATTGTGGCGTTTCAATTTATTTTTAGATGCATGTTGTATTGTTTGTGCTGAATACAAATGTCAATCAAAACTTGAGCAAAAAATAATAAAATTCATGACATTAGATTTAGCTTCGCTTTTCATAGGACGTGTCACCCAAATTTTATAGTCAAATAAACGACAGAATACTTTTGCAGTCACAAGATTGCGATTTTTATAGTCAGAAGGTATTAAGACGAAGTGATTAACTGAACGAATGATCACTTTGAGAATAAGGAAGCTACGTAAAAGAACAGATAAGCCATGCTCGGGTTGCAGTGGCACTCAAACAAATTTTAAAAATGAAACGCAAAACTGAAGTCACTGCAGAAAGAGACGCAGCAGAGGTGAAGCTCAAGGTGCAATATTGTTAACATTTTATCACTCGAACCGATCACAAATCTCATGCAAAAAAATATAGCAATCAGCATTGGACACTACAACGAAGTGAGATCGCAATAAGAAAGTAAAACCAACCAATATGTCACTGTGATGGACAGTTATAAAGGAGATGCCAATCAAAAGAGGAACAGCGAGGTGATAAGAAAGAACAGGTGATAAGAATTAGTGGTGAGAGTATAAAAGGGTGCAAGATCAGTGCGATGACACTTTCGGAGGAGAGCATCATCCATCCAGTGACTATGAAGCTCTATCTGCTTCTAGCTCTTTGCGCCGTCGCTATCGCAACTCGACGCGATTGGAACGACGAAGACGTTCGTCGCCAGGAGGTCATCAGTGAGGAGCACGTGTTCAGACCACAACGCCTCTATCGTTATCTCTACAGAGGACAAATATCCAACGGTCTTCCCAGAGAATCTACCCAACATGCGGCCAGCCGAATCGAAGCTCAGGTCGTTCTCGCATTCCCGAACACCGAACGCACCGCCGTTCTCCAAATTGACAAAATCAGATTCGCTGATCTGAACGGTGAGTTGCCCGAACCGAGAGAAATACAACGCTTCGACATCTTCGACGAGAGACAAATTGAAGAAGAACACGAGAGAGTGTTGCGTTTGCCGATCAGATTCAGGTATGTTGATGGACTTGTGTCAGAGATTGAATTCGATCGTGAAGATAAGCCATGGTCCGAGAACATCAAGCGTGCAATCCTGAACCTGCTTCAAGTGAACCTAAAGAAGAATATGCGCACTGACATCCGTGAAGAACAACGTGTCCGTGATGAAATCGAGCTGCGAGAGGAACGTGAGCAGAGACGCGAGAGGGTTGACTTCTTCACTGTTCAAGAGGTATGTTAAATTCATAACATAATTCTTCATATCAGATGAATTGTATAGCATACAAATTCTTTAAATACACCTTCATTTGCAGCCAACATTGGAGGGAGACTGCGAAGTCTTCTATACGATCAACGAGGTTCCGGAGGAAGACAGAGAGACGTTGAAAGTGAGCAAATCGATCAACTTTGACAAGTGTCGCAGGAGAATTGAAGTGAGATACAATCACCGCTTCGGAGAGCAATGCGAGAAATGTGATGAAGAAAGCGAGAAGGAACGTCTAGCTAAAACAACGAGCGTCTTCACTTATGAGATCGTTGGAAATAGGGATCGATTCGTGATCAGCAGGGCTGAAGTGAGATCGCAACACGTCATTGTACCACTCTCACAAGAAGAAATCACAATGAAGAGCGTTGTTGTCGGACGTCTGGAATTGGTGAACGTTCAAGAGCACAGAGAACGAATCGAAGAGCCACGCAGTGAACGCAAACAAACCATTGTCTACTCACCTGAACGTCAAGTTAAGGTTGAACGATTCTATATGAATGGTGATGAAGAACTCAGAGAAGATCACCCATTCAGACTGAACCGTCATAAATATGAACTCATCGAGCAAGCTATCCAGAAGATGATTCGTGCCATGAGGGACAGAGAAATTGGAATCGACTTCGATGCCACTGAACAAATAACTCGTTTGGTAAGCATCCTCCGCAGGTGCTCGAAACAGGAGCTTCAAAGAGTTGAGAAGGAATTCATGTGGGGAAACAAATTCGAAGAGAAGGTTCAGAAGAAGGTTCGTGATGTGCTGATAGATGCACTCGGATTAGCTGGTACCAAGAACACAATCGAAGTGCTTGTTGAGAGGATCGCAGAACGAAGAATAAGCTTACTGAAGTCAGCAAGAGCACTTCAAACGCTCATCAACAGCCCAGTGGTCTCCGAGAAACAGATTGATATGGTGCTGCGTTTGTGCAAGAAGGATGTATGTGAACGCAATCCACTCCTGAAACAATCCTGCCTTCTTACTGCTGGTGCAATGATCAATGCTCTTTGCAAGCCAAACAAGGATCGTCTTGCGATTGAACTCGTCGACGAAAGAGTGTGCCCACGAGAAATGAAAGAGAAATACCTTCGAGTACGTTTCCTCTCATTTTCTTCAATAATACTCACTTACTGCTTCATTTTCAAAGAATCATATCACAACTAACTATCATTTCAGGAATTGATGGAGATGTTCCGTAATGCAGAGACCAGATCCGAGAAGGTGTTGGCCCTAAAGACGATCGCGAATGCTGGTATCGACCTAAGTGTATACGAGATTGAGAACATCATCATGGACCGTCAACAAGAAAGAATCATCCGTACTCAAGCAATTGATGCACTCCGTCAACTCCGCCGCGTCATGCCACGCAAGATTCAACGTCTGCTCATGCCGATCTTCAAAGATCAAAGCGAACATCCTGAAATTCGCGTCAACGCACTCGCACAAATCATCAACACACTCCCCGAACGTGCTATCCTTGAGCAAATCGCCGACACTCTTGCTCGTGAACCATCTCGTCAAGTCAGGGCATTCACATACACCATCATGAGCACATTCGCTCAATCGAAGATCCCTTATGAGAGAAGACTGTAAGTATACCATCCTCCTCCACTAATCAAAAACCAATCAAGCAAACTTGAATTGATCTCAATAAATTGGTAATTTTGGTTCATTTCAGGGCTGAAGATCTTAAAATTGCACTCCGTTTGGCACGTGTCGAAATCAGAAACTGGGCTGAAAGCAAATACATGCACATTCCGATGTTTGCAGAAGAGCGCAGAGCTGGACTCTCATTAGATATTGCATCGATCTTTGCAAATGATAGCATTTTGCCACGAGAACTGATGATGAGTATTGATACACTGGTGATGAGACAATTCACGAAATCAAACCTTCAACTTGGATTGGTTCAATACAATATGGAACAGCTTTTGGAGAGGATCGTCAAGGAAACTGAAAGCAAATCAGTGGAAGAGATCGTTGTTCGTGGAAGGAGAGACACCACATTCAGACCAACTGAGATCCTTCGTAACCTCTTCGAGAAACTTCACATCAGAAGTCGTCGTGAGAAATCGAACGCATTTGCGATGGCATATCTTCGTTGGGACAATCTTGACTTTGCATTCTTACCGATAGATGCCGAGACTCTTCCAGAAGCATTGCAGGTGTTGCGCGATGGTAAGATCGATGTTTCACGTTTGGAACGCTACCTTGTTGAAGGATGTCAGTTCAATGACCACTCCGTCATGATGAGCAGCCGAATGATGCGTAGAGTGCCGACCACTATTGGTTTGCCTTTGGTGATCACGCACAGAATGCCGACAATAATCGGCCTTGAAGGTAACGCAAAAGGTGAACTGATCCCGCAGCGATCAGATCGTCTGATTGGTGCTAAGATTGTGGTTAGGGCACTAACGAAACTCACCACCACACATCATCTCGGAATGCAAATATGGAGTCCAATATTGACATCAGGCGTTGAGATGGTTCAAAACGTAAGACTCAACTTACCGATCGATGCTCAGATTGAAGTTAAATATGAGAAGAAGATGCAGCTCAAATTCAAGATCAAGATCCCTGAACGAAGAACGCAAATCGCAGCTGTACAAAGCCGTTCCCTTACAAACATTGCCCAATGGCCAATTGACCCGAAGGTATTCGTCGAACCGAGACAGAGGACTATCCCACACGAACTTAGACCAGCGCGTGTACAGAACATCGATAGAACATTCGGTCAGAAATGGTTGGACATCCTTGTGAACGTTCGTGGACAGTACAAGAATTGCATTGCTGCTCAGAACAGCTGGGAAGTGAGCATCGAGAAGAAACGTGATGCGCCACGAGAAATCGTTACGGAAATCGAAATGGAATTGGTCAAGGAGAACAAGATGAAGAGACCGGAACTTGAGAGATTCTACTCGGAGAAGGTGGAGAGGGAAAAGTTCGAGATCGATGATAGTGAAGACGTTGAAGAGCAAGATCGTTCCGACATAACATCGAGGAATAGCCGTAGAAACGAGAGGAAAGAAGAGGAGAAGCGCCGTGAGGAAGAGGAACGATTGAGACATCAGGAATTCAGCCGAAACCTCAGAGAGTAAGTGACTGTCTCCATTTTTTATGAACAAAACCGAACTTTTCATCGACTTTGCTACGTAATAATAACTTTCAGATACAACCCACAGAGAGGCTACAAAGTGAAAATGCAAATGAGAGTGAAAGCTATCGGAGCAGCAGATGAACGCAAAGCAGAATTGCAACTAGAGACTGGCTGTGACGAGAGAATGCGTTATTGTATGCTGGTTGCAAACGCTCGACGTGTACCAATATTCGAAGATGAGAAACGTGAATGGACATTCAGAACACAGATTCAATCTCTTTATCCGGAACCAATGAGGGATTTCAAGGAATGGAGCGAGAGGAAACACCGTGAATTGAATGCCCAAATCGAGATGGAATGGGGATGCGATAGGAAACAACATATTACAATGAAGATCCAAGGTGAGCAAGATCGTGAGCAACGTGAACTGATGAACCGTATTGAGCGCGACACGAAGCAAATGACAGCAGTTGAACGATACGAACGAATCCTCAGATCGACCATCCTCAACCAATACAGAATTGTGGCCGATTATGAAATTTGTCCGGTGTTGAGATCGTATCTAAACCAAGTCGTCAACATGCTCATATCATCACGGTGGTGGAATTCTCGTGTTATTCCGACTGAAAATGACGAGAGAAGGATGTTCGCGAAGATCACAATCGATCCGCTCTCCCATCAGTACGTAACACTCCGCATTGAAAGACCTCGTGAGAGCGTTGAAATCCGCGATATCCGACTCCCGATGCCACTCGAACCCCTCATGCTCAACATCCACCGTCCACACACTCCAATCCGTTCAATCCGTCATTTCGTTCGCAAGACTGTCACCCCAGAAGAAAGAGATGCTGAATGCCAAGTTTCATCACGTCGTATTAACACGTTTGACGATGAGCAGATCAAACTCCCTCTTACCACCTGCTACAGCGTTCTTGCCAAAGACTGCTCATCAGAAGAACCCAGATTCGCTGTTCTCATGAAGAAGATCGCCAAAGATTCTGAGGAGAAGGTTGGTTGCAAAATTTGTTCTAANAGTCAATCAATATTTATGTTCAATGATCAAAAGCAAATTTCAGCAGATGAAGATCATTGATGAGGAACGAGTTATTGAACTGAGACGTGTCCATGACGAAATTGAAGTGAGAATCAATGGACGTGTCGAGAGGGATGCCGAGAAACTGGAGAGAGTCGGGTGAGTAGTGAAATTAAAGGAAGTCAGTTGAGTGGACTCGATGAATGAATAAGATACATTTCAGAATCAACAACAGAGACGATATCGTGATCGTTGAATTGGAGGATGTAACAGTTCGTTTCGATGGAGTGAGTGCATCAATTAAGATGTCACCTTTGTTCAAGAACGTGCAATGCGGCATCTGCGGACATTATGATGATGAGGCAAGGGATGAATATCGTAAAGCCGATAATGAGTTGACAAATGACTTGGAGCAATATCACCGTAGTTATTTGAACAGAGACGACGAATGTGAGATCGACGAGGAGGTGATTAGCAAGAAGGATAACTACAGAGTAATCCGTGATGACGAAGAGAGACTCGACGAGAGTTCTGAAGAAGAGCGAGAAGTTGAGAGTGAGTATATGCAGATCAATCAGTTGGTTACCTTATTCGTGCTGCTATTAACTGAAATTGGTTTCAGAACCAGTGATGAGAACGCATGTGATTGAATACAACCACGAAACATGCTTCTCAATGAAGGGTGTACCCGAATGCCCGAGAGGAACCTATGCCAGAGAGTCACAGAGAGTGCCAATGAAGGTGTCGTTCGCTTGTATTTCACGTTCATCACCCAACGCATCACGACTTGCTGATCGTGCTCGCACTGAAGTCATCAAGATGGATAAGCAAAAGCCAAGCTTTGTTGATACCATCATGGTTCCGAGAAGATGCCTCGTCTTTTAAATTCATCCATGCAAAGTCCTAATGACCTGATTTAATTCCGATTCCACCTTTTGTGGGCACTTTTCTAGTAATTTCATTCGCAATGGAACATGATTCGATGCTTTCATTCGACTGCATTTTGATGGCACTTATCAGCTTTATGAAAAGTCATTTCTAAGCACACCTTCTCAATTCCCACCCATTCCGAAAAGTTTCAAATATTGCTTTATCTCGTAATTTCTCTCTTAACATCTTAAGAATCACTTGGCATTGTAAGAATCAGTATTTAATCCAGCTTCACGCTCAACGATCGGGTTGTTTTGATGCATCCGTCCACTCACCCATCCAATGCACAGTGTAGCTAAAGTACCGCATCGATCATGTTATATGTCGATTGCATTTATAGTGATTTTTAATGTGCAAATAAATATTTTGAAAGCATTCCGATTGTTTGCATTTTCACACTTCACAGTTTTAGCTTCACAAAGATCAACCATGTCACAGTCTGTAATAAAATCGACAAATTGTCCTTTTTTATGCATTGCTTTCGGTAATTATGTGAATTTCCTCCCAACATACGTGAATGCAAAGCAAAATTCAATATTTTCCTTAACTGACGATTGAGGATTACTGTATTGACCATTTTGGCGGAGTGTCAGTTCGTTCGTTTGGCAGAATTCCTTACTCTGATGAATGGAACGTGACATCATTGGTTTGCCTTTATGATGTGATTTTTTATTTTAAATTATCATTCGAGGTTTCGAGATTCTCGGTTGTAAAGTCATCACGGAAATGACTTCATTGCCTTGTGATCGTCGCTGATAGGGGCTTGGCAGCATACCTGATTCGTCCTGTTTTCAAAATCATTATTATAGATCAGATATGATCATTAAAACAAGTGGACGATGAGTTGTGGGTATCATCTTCTTCGATTCTCAGCCGATGCCTTTGGGGCATTCGCTCGACGAGACCTTTCAATGAATTCACTAGTCACCGCGGATCTATGTCAGTTTCGACGAGCTATCTCTCGTCATTGTTTGATAAATCGAGTGAAGTCACAATCGGTTATAAGCAGAAACATTGCTGTGTCCAATATACGAGCACTGAGTGCAAGTGCAACATCGTTTTCCAGGTATTATTATGTTTCTTGTTGTTCCACTCTTTATTTCACTTCAAAGTTATCAAGTTCGGAGTTCATTTTGTCGTTTTGGTCAACTTTTACCGTTATACATTTCTTATGAAAGTAATGTGGTAACATTCACTGCTTAATCTCATTGTTCATCGCTTATTAATGCCGTTCAGCTGTCTTACCGTTTAATCATAAGTTTGCAGTAAACCCAAATATTATCTGAAAGGAAATGTGAAGAAATTACGCGAGCAATTAAGCGATCAAACGAGGCAGTTTCGCGACAATTTGTTGACTGTACCCAATGGTCTTTGCATGCTTAGGTAAGTTCCTTCGATTATTTCTTTAAGGTGATCATCGGTAATAATCCGAAGGAGTGTGCAGTCAAAATTTATTCCTCTTCCAGCCTTTATTGCATAGTTGTTTGGCGGACAAAATATTTTGTAACGATGAAATTGTTTTGATTGTAGTTTGCATAATTTTTAAAATATTAGTAACCTTGCTCGACGCAATCATCTCTGTTTATTGTGGATTTCAAATCAGCATTGTAAAAGTGCTGAACGAAGAGGTTTATTTGCAGAATTGCTTTAACACCAGTAATTGGGTATTTGGTTGTAGAGGAGTATTTCACTGTCGGTCTTTATTTGCTTTCAATTGCTGGTATTACAGACTTGGTGGGTGCTCATTTTGTATTATCTTCTTCATGTTTAAGCACTCTTTCGTTTGCGATGGACACGTTTCAATTTACGGTTTGAACAACTGTTCGCACACAACTCTAGTAGGGTCGCATGANTTTTTTTTCACCACAAATGTTCTATCTCTGATCGAAATGAAATAGAATAACGACAGATTGCAGTTGGATGGTTTGATAGCGCGGCACATAAAAGGTCAGAGTTCACTGTTGGGTAGTGTACTCGACCCAGTTGCCGATAAATTGCTTGTGAGTACACTCTTCATAACGCTCACTTATGTCAACCTTATTCCACGTTCGTTTTGCACCTATCGACTAGATTTCGTTTCGTTGATCTTATCTGTTCCCATAAAGACCGCTTTTTAATATTCACAAAAAGGCAAAAGCTGAATGAAAGCCTCAGACAAAACCCGTGTAGACATCAACCAAACTTCAGCCCACATGTCAAGAGTCTGCTCTGAAACCGGAGCTTGTATTGAAAAGAAATTATTCGTCCAATTTGTATATTTCTCATTTGAATGTTGATTGCAGTTTTACTAACAATCATCGTAATCTCACGTGACATATGTCTCATAACGGGTGGTTTTGTGAAACGATACCGATTGTTAGTGCCTCCGATCACACTGAAACGCTATTTCGACCCTTCCGTATCTCCAGTGAAAGTGGCACCTACGATGGTTAGTAAGGTTGGTCGATGCTCTTCTACGTTGTGCTTTATTCGATAGGAAGCCCATCGTGTCTTTCACGAGAAAATGAAGTGAAGCAGTGTTGAAAGATGAGAACGGGATTGCGTAGTGCAGTCAACAAATGATTCTGATTGAAGGTGAACACCGCGTTACAACTCTCTCTGGTGGCGTGCAGTCTCGCTTCACCAGTTTTCGGTTTTGTTGGTTATCCGTACCTGACAGCTTTATGGTCAGTTCTTTTCGAGTATGGGATGTTGTTTTGGCTGTTACTTTCGAAGTGTTGTGCTGACTGGCAGCGATTTGCTGTCAAACGACCATTCACCTTTTACATTCACAGAAATACCTTGCCGATTCGCTTCTGTCATGCATATCATCTGAAAATCTTCGATTACACTGAAAAGATATTACACGATTTTTCGCTATCATTCAGTTGAGATAATCAAATCCAATAGTTAACATATACCTTACGTTCACAATTACTCAAGGTT